AGGGACTGAGACAGTGAGTGAGAATGAGAGAGAAAAAGAAAAAGTTTATGAGCAAGTGAGTGTACATCGGAAAGAGGCAGAAAATGACAGCATAAGAGGAGGGGGAAACATTCTTACCTCACAACATATATATCTGGTAACAGGTCATCTGATTCACGCTTTATAACTGGATCTTTCCGTATTCCCAGGAGATTATGCAAGTCTTGCTCCGGCCATCCTGTCTCCACATTCCAAGTTACGCAGCACATGCTGATGAACAGGAATTAAAATAGGCATGAAAATCTCTAGTAATGAAAATAATCTTAGTAGAAACATCAATAAATTTTATCACAAGGATTTATATTATATCATATATTGATTTCAATTCTATATCATTAATTGCAATATGGATTTTATATGAATTTAATATATGTCATCACACCGCATAATATATAACAGAAAGAATATTTTCTGAGGCTTCTTTTTCCACTACCTTTTACAATACCTATGCATGTTTAACACAAGCATATTATAACAAAAGAAAGAAAGAAAGAATAAATACTCACCTTATCGTATCCATATTTCAGGAGAACTCTCTTAGGAATGCTGCCTGTCAAGATACAGAATGTCATAGATAAAAACAGCACTCGTACCGGAAATTCAGAAGAAAAAATATATATATTCCACAACTAGAAATTAAACACTGACTTAAGTAGAATGTTATCAGCAGAATCCTGTTACTTTTACTCCTAGTGGGCTCTTATCAGCTGAACCGTTTATCAGTAGGGTTACGTCTACATTATCTCGCTTCTTTTCCATATCGTTGGTTTATCACTGATGAAACGTATCCATGTTGACAAATGTAGAAAAGGTATGAATAAGAATGAATATCTTCACAATACAAGAGATGTATTTGACCGGTTTCGTCTATATCTTCGTCAGATATACATGTATTTTTATCCATATATAATGCACTTAATATTTTAGAACCTGTTTACAAAATGTTAAAGTGCAAAATAAAAATAAGCTCTGTATCTATCAAAATATAATCGTAAGTATATGTTTATGTTCATCCACAACAACTTAATTACAGTTTCAACTTTTTAACCCATTCGCGCTGGGTAAAAATAAACAAAAAATGGGGGAAAATGCTGTGCTCATTTTTTATACTTTTGTGAAATTTTTCTACACCAGATGGCTCTGCCTTACCTGATTTCATTTGACGGGAAAATGTATTTTTACTAGTACTATGAATATCGATGGTTATCTTTATTATAAATACCATAATTACTATAATGTTAGTAACAGCAAAATAAGATAACGTATAATATTTTCGTAAATTAAAGAAAAGGGTAAACAGGCGAAACAGGCAGTACAAGTACAAGTGTAGCCATCTATGTGTAAAAACAATTAAACAAGTAAACTCACAATGGGCCCGTCACATATACGTGATACCCGGCGTGAATGGGTTAAAAAGAGTAAAAACTGGTTTGCCTACTTTGAAGATATTAATGTTAACTTCATAATCATGTAACTGCCAGGTGATATAAGGTGCAAGATAGATAGAAAGAAAGAAAGAAAGATGATGTTAACCCCTTCACGACGAGTAAAAATGCTGTGCTCATTTTTTATACTTTTTGTGAAATGTCTCTACACACAGATGGTTCTGTCTTACCTGATTTCATTAGGCGGGAAAATGTATTTTTTCCCAGTGCTATGAATATCGATGGTTATTTTTATTATAAACATTATAATTACTATAATGTTATAAACATTAGTAACAGCAAAATATTTTCGTAAATTAAAGAAAAGGGTAATGGGCGAGACAGGCGCGAATGCGTTAAATTCTTATTTTGATTTTATTCTACCATATGGAATGATGTATCTGAAACTAACAGAAATCAAAAGTTTCTTCTTCTATAATGCAAGTTAAGTATTGATTGTTAGATTATCAATAATCCAGTTATTTTGAAACTTGAGTAAACAAGAACAACTAGCACCCTAAATGTTAAAATACAATTCAACCAAACAAACAAAGTACACTTTTACTCTGTATCTTTATTAAATTTTTGTTTTCATTATCTTTTAATTCATCTATTCATTTGTTTTTCTTGCAGTCAACTCCTCCAAACACCATTGTTCTCGCAAATGCAGTAAATCACAAATGTTCCTTTTTCGTGGCTACTGGCAGGCAGGCATTCATAAAAAAAAGGGCATCCTGATCATAATGCTGATTGTGAAGAGGTTGTTCCCAATTCTATACACACAGTGATAGAGCAACTAATATCTGGGAAACTATTATGCATTGAAGTGCATTCTTTGCCTTACAATGTAAGCCTATGTATGATTATTAAGCTGTTTTCTGCACTTGAACTCTTAGCAAAAAATGTTATTACTATGAAACTAATCACAATTCATAACTGATTTCAAAAATTGCAAAGGCAATGAACCCACCAACCTAATTTGAGAACAACGGTTTTCATTTCCTAATGTACCACTCTGTGATTAGACTGCTGCCTGGCTCATGGCTTCCCTTGCAAGCCATCCTCCTGGCCACTGGGCTTCTTATGCAATTAGGTGTCAACTGAAGTCTGGGATTTTTTTTGTCACAACATGATTGGATGTCATCTGGCATGAGTGGATTAACCCAATGCCAATGGGGAAAATTAATAAAAAATGAGGAAAATGCCGTACTCATTTTTTAAATATTTTTGTGAAATGTCTGCACATTGATGGCTCTGCTAGTGCTTAGCCACAAAGGAGTCAATTAGCAGACCTTGTGACCTTACCTAATTACACCATTCCTTGAATTGGGGGGAAAAACATATTTTTTACAAATGCTATGTACATCGATGCTATGAATACCATAATGTTAAAAACATTAGTAACAGCAAACTGCGATAACGTAAAATATTTTCATAAATCAAGGAAAAGTGTAAATGGGCAAGACAGGCAGTACTTGTAATTGGCTCAATGGTGATTTAGTAGAAGTGTAGCCATCTATGTGTAAAAACAGATTAAAAAGTAAACTGACAGTAGGCATGGTATATATGTAAATGCCATGCCTGTCAGCCTTGGGTTAATATATACAACCTACTAAAATCAACTGAGAATTATTTATATGAACATCTGTTTTTATTGTACAAGTATACCTTTTATAATGATAATATAAGGAAGAAAACATGTTTCTCTATGTACATGCCCATATGGTCCTATTGATTTGAGTGTCCACAACGTGTTGTAAGAGCTGTGAGTGGATGGCAAAAAGTAGAGGAAATTTGATGCTTTGGTGATAATCTCTTTAAGCTGAGGATTCTCTAGCCTTGTCTGACTCAAATCAGGATTAGCGCATTTTTTGGTTAATCTTTACAGTATGGATGCACTAAGCTAGGGTGAATTGAAGATGATATTCTTGTAGAGGATAAAAAAGTTGCTGTTATTAATGCAAGAAATACACATAGAGTAACTCCCAAATAAAATGAAAAGATTGTGGAAAGTGCAACTCATAGCCTAAGTCCTCTCAATGCTCCCAAATTTTAACTTTATCTTGCCATGCATACCGAGGCACATCCAGTCATGGCAACTTGAACTGTTTAATAAATTTTGTGATGCAGAGCTAGGGACTTACTGTAAAGAATCACCCTTTTTTGTGGGCAGTCTTGGAAATTTATCAAGACTATATAGACAAGTAAACAGTTTAAGAAACATTAAAATTGGCCTGAGTTAGACATGGAACACCTGGTTGAGTGTATATGTAATGCAACTAAAATGTTTCCAACTTCATGCCACAAAATTTATTCAACAATCTAAGTTGCCATGACTGAGTGTGTCTGAAGCGCAAATAGAGGGTTGATTGGGGGCTCCCTAACACCCCCTAAGGATACTATGTCTTCACCTTGGTATGCATGGCAAGAGCTGAAACTTGGGATCACCTACTGGACTAAGGCTGTGAGCATGGGTTTCTGTGACCTTTTCCCTTTATTTGTGGCACTACAGCTCATGTCTACAGATTATTTCTTGAACTGACAACTTCAACTTTTTGTTCTCTTCAATAATATCATTATCAATTTGCTCCAGCTTTCTGCATCTGTACCATAAAGATTAACCGCCAGAAGCAGCTCAGAAACCAGGGCTGGGTCCAAGCAGTGAAACGTGGGCTGTATGAAATCTAAATGATACCTAAGGAATTAGTTCAGAGTCTATCCTGTCAGACTGTACTTGGTGGAGGTTTGTTGGTCTCTGCCAATGTTCCAAAGGTACATAGACCACAGTATTTACCTGGCTACCTCTATCTTTTGGTTTCTCTACTTTAACAATAGAAAAGCTTTCCTATTCTTCACCTACAACATGTATATCACATAAGAAATGTGTCATAGCATTAAGCACTCTACCTATTTCGTATACGGATTACCTGGTAATACTTTCGCTCGATACAGTAACTTTAACCAAAGTTGATGTAGAGCGTGTCTATATTGACCTGGAAATTGTTCAGGTTGGTTTTAAACACCACTTGTTTAAGTGAATTATATGACACTGGTATAACCGCAAGGTAATTGCTTACTGAGGTGCACTAGCAACATACGAAATATCTTAGTTATCCAAGTGGGTGTAACCAGAAAAAATACACTAAATATAACATCAAGAACCTCTGAAAACAAGTGATAAATGGCACAAATCAAGCAAATGATATCTCTCTCTGCCTCACCTGCAAACCCAATCTACGGTCAATGATTGCCCACGGAGTAAATGGCAGTCCATAAACTAAAGGAGATGCTTGGTCTTGAGGAACCGAGCCTTGTGACAAGCAGGTGTAAACACAGCTGATCGCGTTCGAGTACCCAGCACTATATCGTATTTTCACATTCTCGGTTCAGTTACTGATCTATTTCGTATTGGCGAAGGCTTAACGTACCGCATTACATCACGGCTTTAACTCTATTCGAAGGTAAATCCTGGCGTATGGGATCAATGCTAAGCCGAAATACACAGTGGAGATCACGTTCGAGCGTGACGCAAAAGCTCCAGGGTAACTCTAATTGCCGACGGGCGCCGCCGGGCACCGACGAGCTGCCGACGGACCATGGATTAATGCCGACGGGACATGAATTAATGATTCATTATAAGTTATTTTCATATTTTAAGGTGGAAATAAAGGTTTGGGCACTTCTGCCTAAATAAATAATATAATAGGGACATTATTATTATAAATTAAGGACTGACCCAGAAAAGTGTACATTTGGCGGAAAGGGGTGGTCAATGGATTTCAATAAAACTTTGGAGATCTGTAAAGTACCCCTACGGTGGCTTTTTGTATGTTTTCTGATATTTATACTGCCCCGTCGGGGACATCAGATTAAGCCCTCAGACGTCGCTATATCGGGGCTAGACCATCAGGTACTAAGGGAAAATTATCATTCACCCTGCATTCACCTTATCAAATAAAGTCTCTCCCCCGGCCCGTCTGTAATACTGGTGCAGTCCTGAAGTTTACTCATTCACTGTATCTGTGCTAGGATTGTGCGCAATATTGATTTTGTAATAGTGCCCGCTCAGAAACAATAGTTGTCCAGTGGGCGTGGCTAGCCAGTTCAGTCGCAACTATCGCTTATAGGACATGGCAAATGGTCCAATCAAATTGCTAGACTTCGTCTTGAGATATAATAATAAACAAATATTGGCATTGGTGGGGGAATGGCTGAAAATGGTATGTTAATCCAGAATGGCTCAATATTAAACAGCACAAAATTACATTTTTCCACTTTGTCCTCAATGCTCTGTTTTACGTATGTGCAGTACAGTGACCTATGGTGTCAGATCCCTTGTACATGCTATACCGGGTATTGAGATGGCCTTATGACATATTTTGATAAGACACTTAGCCAGTACTGTGGCTTGGAACCAAGCACCCATATACACATGCATGGCATTTGTTGTATGCTGTACCACCATGAGAGGACAAGGAGGGTTAAGTACCATAGCTCAGTGCCGATTTGTTACACTGTCATTTAGAGACTAGCATCACCGACTTTAATAAAAGAATGCCTTGGGGTTGACAATGAAACTGTATTGTGTCAGTCCAATTAAATTATTAAATTAAATTTTCCATACCGTGTGAGGGGGACACCCACTCCCACACCCACCCCCTCTCGGGCGCTTACGCGCCCTCGAATTGAATTCACTCGCAGAAGTGCGCCCACCCCCACTTTCAAAATCGCTCCAAAGCCTATGTTTATAACTTAAAAATATTTGATCTGTAATACGATAGGGCTGATATACGTATGTATTGTACATCTTCTTGCCACCAGGCACTTTATACAGACATTGTCCCACGGGACCATTCACTATGGTTCACTATTTAGTATACGGTACATATATTTCCATAATTATATAGATCTAGGCCTATATTCATATCTTTATCTTTATTATTATTATTGGGTGGAAAATCAACAATTTCAAATCGGCAGTAACTAGAACATTCGTAGACGACGTAGATGTGGACAGTGGGTTGGTGTTTGCACAACAATTATCAATGGTCGAGCCGCGCGTGGCGGGTATCAGCAATCAATTAGTGGCAGGCAGTATGCCGGCAAGTGTGTGTGTGTGTGGGGGGGGGGGGTTGTTCCGTGAATTGGGTAAATAATATCAGTGGGAATCTTATTGATGTACCGGTAATTATTTATTTTCCCTCGACATGTTCTCATGTTTGGGCCGCCATGTTTTATTCATCATGCTAAATTACACATGACAATTGACATTGTTCTACAGTCATGGAAATAACTATATTAACTTTTTTAACTTTGTTTTATTAACTTTTGCACCACAATACTGCTGCTCTTAATTATTTGGTTTAAAATTTCCCAAAGTTACTAGGTAAGCCCAAGGGGCTGGGCTCGTAAGCTTCTGCATTTATTTATTGTCACTATAATAGTCCAAGGCAATCTCAGCAGGGCGATCTCAGCATAGGGAGTCTGTGCTAGCCGCAGTTCCAGACCGTGGCTGTTGAGGACGCCGTCGTCATGCCAGAAGACTCCTCCAGGAATATAGGATGGTTCTCCAGTCCCCTGCTGTATTAACTATTCTACCCCTACCAGATCTTTTTTTTTTTTTTTTTTTTTTTTTTTTTTCTTTTTTCTTTTTTAAGCAAACCTAAAAAATGTGATTTTGAGTTCACAGGTTCTTAACTTTAGAAGCATCCACAAATGGCAGTGAAATGAAACTTTGTATTGAGGGTGGACAAGAGTTAACTCCAACAGAGTCGCAGTCAAAGAGGAGTAGTCTACCGGTACTCTAATCATGCAGAGAACCCTATGTACAGTTTAAGCTACTAGGCTACAAATTATCCCGTCGGTGCCCGTCCATGGCCCGTCGGCAGCCCGTTGGTTCCCGGCGGTTCCCGTCGGCAGCCCGTCGGTTCCCGGCGGTGCCCGGCGGCGCCCGTCGGCAATTAGAATTACCGAAAGCTCCAAGATGTAGCCCCTTTCAGAGCCACATCCCTAATTACGATTTTTTTCTCTCTCTCACGTATCTCGCTGACTGATTTCATTATATCTAACCCCAAATTTAGACTTTGATACAGGGTTGATATTTTTTTGTCGGCTGATGATTGTGCATGTATACTGTTCTCTTGCTAGAAAGTAAAGAGTTTTAGGGGTTCTATTTGCCATTTCAGTCCATTACTTATTTTTGCATATGACGAAAAGGGACTAATGGGGAAATACTATGCAATCGTGCTCTAATGACGCAGCCCTCGGCCACTGAACAGCCACTGCTTTCGCAATAATTAAGCACGTCTATCCCTTTTCTCTTTTCTCGGTACCGGTATTGTTACATGGGCATCAAGACATCACATTGAGGATATATATGAGGACAAGACTGTGGATGGGTCAGGGGCGCTTGCTGATATATAAGCATTGTGGATTCGTTTGCTTGTATGTGTAATGTATGTTATGATCCCCCTGCCCCCTTTTTCTTCTTTCCCGATTCGCTATCACCTTCAACTTTTTCTCACAACGGTAGTGGGTATATAAAAGAAAAGGGAAAGTGGTACGTTAGTGTATGTTCAATCAATTGGCTTTATTCATTCACGGAATGTTACTGTCAGCACAATGAAAAGACACACACACACACACACACACACACACACACACACACACACACACACACACACACACACACACACACACACACACACACACACACACGAACACGCACAAGCGGACACACATGCATAAGCGCGCGCACACACAGACACACACACACACACACACACACACACACACACACACACACACACACACACACACACACACACACACACACACGCACGCACGCACACGCACAAGCGGACACACACACGCACAAACACACACACACACACACACAAACACATACACACACACACACACACATGCACACACACACACACACACACACACACACACACACACACACACACACACACACACACACACACACACACACACACAAACACACACATACACACACACACACGCACACACACACACACACACACACAGAGTTTTATTGAGCAAGAAGTTTCTCAACGCATGTCACGCACATGGTGATGGTTGCTGGAGAGAGGGGGGTTTCAGGTGTGTTTGCCTTTGTACAGGTGTTTGTTTGTTTGAAGGGTCTATTTGTAAAGGTTTCAGCTGTTGTTGCTTGTATACTGTATTTTGGAAATTGTTCGATTGTAGTAGTCAATACTACAGTGATGTGTTAAATCTCTTCTGCTTAGTGAGTTTTATATGTTGCGTGTGGTGGCTGCCTGTAAATATTCTTGTTTGTCATTGCCTGTGACACTTTGCAAGGCTGTGGGGATGTGTGCTTACATGCACGTCTCGAGCAGTTTCATGTTAATTTTTTTATATGAGCTGGGATGACAGGTGTGTGTGTGTAAGAATGTGTAATGGACTTAGTACAAGTGTGTTGGAAGCTATGGTACTGTAGTGCTCTTGTATAGTTGAAGAAGTCTGCAGTCGTCTTCAGTAAAAAAAAAAAAAAAAAAAAAACGAGAAAAAACCGCTGGAGGCTGCTGGCCTCATGCTTTTGCAAATCATACATAATTGTACTGAAAAAAAAATCTAAAAGAAATGCTCCTAGGAATGGATTGTGGGAGGCCGTTGATATATGATATATGTGAAAAGAAAAGGGAATCGGTCTAGAAGGACTTGTAGGACGTAATGACAAGGACACGCTAAGTCCTAAACATTAGAAAAAATATATAATAATCACGTGTTCCCCCAGTACTGTAGCTTGTGTCCAGTCTCCTGTAGGGGATATAGTCAAAGGATGTGTACTACACAGGGAGTCCTTCGTCAACACGTTTTACACCACTTCCTCATTGGCTATGTCAGTGGCATGGTAGACTGGGAATATGTGTCTTACGTGCTCACTTGGTCCGGAAAGGATGTTACAAGTGCTAATGTTATTCATGTTGTAAGACAATGGAGGTGTGTGTGTGTGTGTGTGTGTGTGTGTGTGTGCAACATGGAGGACAGGAGAAAGAATAAGAATAGATGAATATATTTGTGGTAAAACGATGTGCTAGAGTAGATTTTTGGTGGTATATGAAATGCGTAGGGGTTGATAAAAAAAAAAATGTTTTATTGTATTTTGTCATCTGTCATAGATGATATAACCAGTAGCTCTTCAATACTGTAAATAAAGCGGAGTCTTTGAAAGAAAACCGTAGGCATTTGTGATACTTAAATCAATATTCAAGTGTTAACAAAATATAAAATTGTAGTGATGGAGGAATTTTCAAGTAAAAAGTACGCAACCCAACCCAAAAAAAGAGAAGCATATTTTTGTTTAAAGAATACGAATGATTGGTTGTGATATTCTCCTCAGATAGAATTACATTCTGTAACGACTGAAGGTGACATACCATGACACCCAAGTATATTCTTTGGTGACTTCTATTTTCAAGTAGTTATGAGACTTATTT